ATAAGAAAATTCAGATTTAAAAGAAAACCAGATATTAACGGCAAACTATTTAACCTTGGCGATCACCCAGAAGGTACGTCCGTCATTTACCGTTTCGATCTTGTCAAGCCCAGCCTCTCGCAGCTCGCAGCGCTCTCTAAGCGCCTGATAGGTAGGCAACATCCTGTTTGCAGTGCACGTGTGTACTGCAGGGCGGCCTACACAGCATCTCGCAGGGGCCTAGCTCCCTTCATAATATGCCAAATCAATCGGGCAATTATTTCTTTTGATTTTTTATTTCTTTTCTTGCTGTGCTTGTGTTTCGTCACTGAATAGTGACCGTTTCTCCATCTCATGAAGAGGGTGCGCCGAGGGTTGTAAGGGGCTGTATAGCCCGAAAGGGCAGTGGCGCACGCCCGCGGCCCCGCGGCCCCGCGACGCGCTGCGGTGACGCACGGGGACGGGGACGGGACTGATGAGCCTCACACTCGCGGGCGCCCCGACGACCCGTGGACGAGTCTAATTGCCCCCAGGTACACCGACTCGTCCATCACGCACGACGCTGCGGGAGTCAGCAGCCCACAGAGAGGGCGCGAGCGGGCGACGCGATTGCAAGTCGAGATTGTGAAAAAGCTTTGCAGATTTCAAAGAATATAATGATTCAAAACAAACTCATCCCGCCGCCCACCTCGTTGAAGGTCGTGTCGTGCGCCATATTAATTTAGTCGCACTTTGCTGCGGTCGCCGCCGTGGCGTCGTCGGTCGTCGTGCGCCCGCCCAGCCGCACAGTGTTTGTAAACATAACTCCTCGCGGCCGTGACTCCTAAGACCCGCGCCGTGGGGTCGCCACTCTTTAAGGTAACCCGCAACCGCCCCCTCGCCCACCCCATCCCGCCCCATCCACTACAGGTGGTACTGCATTCTTTTTCCCTTAAAAAATCTCAATCAAGAATCGATCTTGAAAGCAGATGATACAAATTTAAGGATAGGTTTGTGTCCTAATTTTTTCTCACATTTAGCTGTCATTTGTTTATGGCTGTTTGTTACTTGCTATCTTAAAATTCGGCGGACTAGCGGCATAAAGGAGGAGATCGGGGGCGGTGGGCAGAGCGGCCGGCATCTGTGGCTTAGTATTGTTGGGCAGTAAAGGGAAGGGGTCTGACTGGACGCAGCATTGTTAGGCAGGGTGAGGGTAGGGGCCTGAAGCGACGCGACACTCAGCCACTCACTCACGATTCGCCCAGCGCCCAAAAAATTGTTTTCTGGTCTGCACTTCTGTCCTCTTTCCTTATCGAGAGTAAAAGCTAGCTGACACCTGAAAGTTACTTATATATTCTTTATGTTTAGTCTAAGGGTTTTTTAAGGTATCATCTGCTAAAAAATACAATGCATAATAATTTTGGAAAGAAACAGTTCTCTTGTTGCAATTTTGTTAAATTGACTAGCCATACGTTACGTTAACGAGAGTGTGGAGCGCGCCCGTGGTGAGGAGGCAAAAGATGGGTATGAAGAAACCCCGCGCGAGTGTGCCCCCTTTGAGAGGAGTGATTCCCGCCGAGGTGATTTCACATAGTGCATGCCGGGCCCTCCGTACTTAGAGGCCTCGCAGTACGCATACGGGGCCGCCGTCCTGATGCTGCAACACGGGTCCCTCTGACCAGCGGCGACGTAATGGTTCCAGGACTCGAGATGCAGTTACGGCGAACCAGTTATCGTTTGTTTACCCCCCGCCCGCCCAGCC